TAAGTATCTATCATTCTGACGATAGTGGTCCTGACAGAACTTTAAATGGGTCAATGGGACATGCGTATTCCTTATTGTTGAGCCCTGAAAAGTGTTTTGCCTGTGCTTCCAATGAATAATTAATCTTCTTGCCTAACATATTATCTGCAGTCTAGTCCTATTTTTCCCAGGCTCTTATTTATTATTCACAACTCTAAAGTTCTACTGTTTTTCCTCAGGTGCAGGAGTTACGTGATAAAGCTGATGCCTACAGGAAAAGGGCCTGGGGAACTCATTTTTCTCGGCAGCACCTGAATCAGATCCTGTCGAACCACAACTGGATGTGGGAGCCTTCCAGTGGCACCTCGTCCTCATCCTCCATTGAATCTGAGGCCTGCAGTAGTAGCACCCCTATCATCGAGGCTCTGGACCTGGCCAGGTGAGCAGAGCTCAACCATCAAAATTCGTCCAATTTAGTTAGCAAATCCAGAAAGATCTTTCTTTTAACAATGACCTGGTGTCTTTGGCATGCCTCTTTAGGGCTGGCAGTGTCAGGGGAAGCTCTAGCCCTGGGCCTTCTGCTTCTGTGGCAGCCAGCAGGAGAAGCTCTCCTGGGGATGCTCGTCTTCATGAAGACCCCACCCTCCCTGTGCAGAGGAAGTTGGCCTGGGATGAAGAAGAGGGACTTGGAGAGAGAAATGAGTCAGAGATTTCAGTTGAAAAAAATGAGGGGAATCCAAAAGATACGCATGGGGACATGAAGGAGAGAAATGAAAGGTATGTGCTTTTTGTTCTGTTTTGTTCTGAAATGTGACCTCAGTTGCTTTTGAGATAAGAGAACCTGCCAACAGTAGAACCAACATGATGGTGCCAGTGTCGGGCAAAAGTCAGAATTGAAGAATTCTGCTCTATTCTTGAGTTGGCTGTGAGTTGAATTGGAACTTGAATAGGAAGTTAATTACAAATTAAAGAAATGGACATTAATTTTGATTCATGTCTATTTATTCCCTCATTTATAAAAAAAATTGTGTACGGATAATTCATACAAAAAAGTACGTAATGTAATGTTGGCTTGGAATCTCCAATATCAGTATAAATCTAGGCGTGATATAACAAAGATGACTCTTACATGCAAAAACATTTCTGCCCATGCCATGACAGTTTTCCATTTCGACATTTCGCATAGCTTTTCTAGGTTGCACGCGTTGGAAACTGAGTCATCATCAGTGGTGGACGGGTCTGGAGATTCCATTAACAGGGGCAGACTGCCAACCCCCAAACTCAGGACCATGCAGACTGTACAAAGAACACACCATGATCGGACCACTCCAGGTATCTAACCTCCTAGATTTACAGACAGCTGTGGTTTCCTGTGCAGATGGTCCATCTGTTTGTCACCTTGAACCTATACTTTTGGCATCTCACAACAGTTTCACTATGATTGAAAGATTTGCAGTCAGAACAACTGACTCCAAGCCTCTTGTTTATTAGAAAAAGCTAGCAATCAAAACATGAATTATATATCATTTATAGTATTTATTATTACATGATTTATTTTATTTTAATAATGTTTCTGATTTTTAATAGGAGGAGCTTTGCTGGTCTCTCCTCTGAATATCAAACATTCCTCCAGGAGAGTTAGGAGGCGTGAGCCACCTTTAGGAAAACCTCACTCTCCTTACAAACATATAGATGGCTCTCCACAGCAGCCACACAGTAAGGTACATGAGTCTTAGGTCAAATGTGCAATATTATGTCACACATTATGTCTTCAGATTTTAAACTCCATTGTATTGCAAAGGTTGAGAGTAGAAGCTTGCCACGTTCCTCGCCAGCCGCTGGCCTGACAACCGTAGATCCACTTCCCATGCGAGAAGATGCCTGGTCTGATGAGGAGGCGGCAGACTACTCCACCAATCCAAGACAACCCAAGCCATCGCAAATACAACAGACCAGCCACCGTCACAAAGCTGCTATCCCTCCACCTGCCAACAGGATCCAGGGCACAATGAGAAACCCGGAATTTCAGCATAATGGTACGGTTCCTTTCAGCATCCACTCACATAGATCTGGTTGCAGCCATGGGAATTTGATTATGAAAGGCCTAACAGTTGCAGCTTTTATGAATTCACACCGAGCCTGAAGTCGTTTATGCACATTAGAAGCGAACATTTTTGTTGCGCTACAAAAATATCACTTTATTTGATTGAAGATCATCAATCCATACAAGGGAAGAACAGCCACCACACTATAAGCACGCAATTGAAACGTGACTGAGTCATTTACCAGCAGAAGGAGTAGAGGGAGGTTAGGTTACCGCTAGCAATAGGGGGAGAATAATCTAGGTCAGTCTCCTGTCTTCTTTTTAATGTGTTTTTTTTTTCCACTAACGTCACTGCATTATTTTGATACCACTGTACTTATTCAAGTCCTCATGCTAACTGGTCAGATTTTTATTTATTTCAAATGATTAGTTAACTTTTGATTGATTTATACCTACATGCCTCATAGTTATGACAATTCAAAAGGATTCACATAATTTGATTATTGCATTTACGCCTCAAAAAGCATTTGAAATTGATTAGTTCTTCTAATTAATAAAAAACTAAAAAA